TTGTAGACATTTAAATTTTAAAAGAACTTACAATTAAAATCTAGTGGCTTCTGACATGACAAGGCATTACAATAGATTCAACTTAACTTACATCATATATAATCCTAATTTTATAGTGTTAAAACATAATGTTATTTGTACAGCTGTGATGAAATAACTTACATAAAAATATCAGTCAACAGTCTCATCAGGTTGATTTGCAACCAATTTACTAAAGATTGCTATTGGTAACACACAAAACATAATTATTACTCTAAAAAATTGCAGTTTTTATTTAATAATAGAGTCTACATTGTATTCCTGCTGATATTCACTGTAAATGGTAATTCCTCTTTCAATATATTGATTGAAGATATAGACTTGCACCAAATAATATAGAAAAATCATTAAAATGGTGTCACTGAAATCCTGTTAAGAATAACAAATAGAATTCAAGTGATGGTTCAGTATTGTGATGCTTCATGCAGCCTGTAGTAGCAATTTTGCATTGATAAAGTTAAATTTTCGCTAACATGACCTCTTCTATTGGTCCTAGCATAGTTAATATGTACATAAATTTATTGTCCAAGTATAGAAGTGTTTTAAAGACAGGCTATCCATGAATGATTGTCCTTTACATGGATATTTATGGTCCTGTCGGGTCCGCATCAGTCTGTCCGTCCGTCCGTCCTTTTCGGGCGGGGCGGGTCCGTCCGTCCGTCCGCTTTTGAGACCCTACCGCTTTTGAGACCCTACCTACAAAATTTTTGGTCCGGGCGGGTCCGTCCGGTCCGCATTTGAGACCGTACCCTAAAAAATTTTTGGTCCGGGCGGGTCCGTCCGGTCCGCATTTGAGACCGTACCTATATGCAAGTGACACCCCCTTGCTTAGCAACATAGATGCTACATACACACATGGATAAGAAACAGGAAATCGGTTTCCAATTAAAGCTTTACAAGATCAAAGGATGATGTCATATCCTGTGTGCCATGCTCTTGGCTAAAATGGTGGCTCTATGAATGCTTGAGTGTATTTTATATTTTTTGAAAGTGGTCATTTTAACCAGATTAGGTAGGTACATGTTATCTTTGATGTATAAGCTGTGTTGTCCCGCATTTACAGATTCAATCAGTGTCTTTGTTGAAGAGCTATAATACAAAATGTGTTGGCCTCTCATATTTTTGTTGAACCACTTTTACTCGACTGTAGACTGGTTTGGTGAGTGTCCTTTAGACATAATATGAACACAACTATGCTGCGTGCACTGAAGGTACTTGCTTGTCTGTGCCACTTATAATGACAGATTTATACCTATTTTAGTTGTTTTTTAGTGGTGTCATTTGCATAGGCGGCTGCAGGATTTGACTACTAGTCGGGCATGGGTGTGGCACAGGAAATGGGTTGGGCGCGCGAAGCGCGCCGTGATTTTGGCCACACCCTCTTTTACGCACCCTTTTTAGCGCAATTTTTTGGTAGCGAAGGTTATTGTACTAAAGTAGTGGGTGGTGTAGCTCCAACACTGACTTCTGTAGTGGTAATAGTACTAGTAGTA